GGTTTCGTGTCATCATCATAGTCCTAAACAAACAGGCACACAAATAAAATGGCTGGATTGTATAGACATACTTCTTGACTTGAACTTTAAATAAACCTTTAACACGTCACGTGTAACCACAAGCATGCTACACACACTTACACAAAGCTTCAAAGAGAACGAACACACAACAGAAGGCAACTCACACGCACATGTATATACAAACTACTCTTCGCCTTTTTACTTTTATGGGTTGCTGACAGCTTCTTGCCTCTATGTCTGTTATGTCGTCAGTCTGAAAGAGTATGTACTTGTGAATGAAAGAGGTGCTGAAGAAAGAGCAGAATTAGTGCTTGTACACCTTTTCATCTGTCTCTTCAGTTTTTCCATTCATCTGTCTGTTCTCTTTCCCTTTGTTTAAGTCTCTCACTCTGTATTTGCAGTGTTAACCTGCGGTTCTCTTGCTCTGTAGATGTTGCAGGACGCGCAGGCATCTGAAGGTCAGGTGGTGGTTCTGGAGTGCCGGGTGAGAGGTAGTCTTCCTCTGCAGGTTCAGTGGTTTCGAGAGGGCCAGGAGATCCAGGACTCCCCTGACTTCCGCATCCTGCAGAAGAGTAAGAGAAACTCAGAGAACAATTTAAAGAGGCAATTCAGTAGTTCTTTAGCAAGTGTTCGAATTGCTGTTCTATGTGTCTTTTAATTAGAGATACCACAATGTTGCTAAACGCTGGGCTGTCACCAACAGACATAGACAAACCATGACAATCACCAGATTCCAATATGTCACTTTTCAGACATTCCAAGATCCAGCAAATGCATCATATTTAATTTGCAAAAACAAGCGCTGAACTAAGCCTACAGATGCCGACAGGGATAATACACAGCTTTTTTCATCCAAATTTGTGAATTTAACTTATGTGAAAATGTGGAATATTTGCAAATAAAGTACAAATTCAATCTGGTGGGAACAACATAATTTCCTGGGAAACTGACATAATACAAATGGAAGTAATTTAATAAATTACTTGTGCTTCAAAGCGCGCAGGCGAAACATAGTGACAAACACTCATGTTATCTTGCGTTTGGCAGTACCTGATGTGTGGGAACTTAATCGTGAAAGACAGTTCTGGGAGGTAGTTATACCAAAT